AATTTAATTTGATTTTTTAAATAAACGATTTCACCGATTTACACGCGTTTTCCCTTGACCAAATTTTGACCGTATCACCCTTTACTGCCCATAAGTGCATAACAGTCTCATCTTTGCTTGATTTCTTATTTATTTGCGCCAGTTGTGCGTTTATGGATAGAAAATTCGTTGAGAAAGAGTTGCTTTAGTGACTATTTTTAGTAAATAGTGACTCTAGTTTTTGGTGTAAAAAGTTACCTTTTAGTGACTGACTTGAACATAGTGATTTAGCTGCAGATTAGCTTATACAGCCAAAAATTTACTTCTACAGCTTATTTGTGCCTGTATAAGCTAGTCTTCAGCTAAAAGTGTGTGTTGGATAGCCACTGAAATGTGACCTGCTACTAGCTCTGTAGAGGGGTTGCCCAATGAGGCATGTTGAGAATAGCTTAGGTTGTTGAAACGGTCTCAGGCATTTCATGAACTTTTATTCTATCCCAAACTAAAGGAAAATAAGCAATCCTCTGAAAAGTACCAGGCAGTTTGCATACACAGTACATTAAAGAGCATTTACCGGTCTTCCCAGTTGAGCGGCCACCCTGTTAGTAAACCTTCTCATTCCAGGTTCTATTTTCCACAAATTGTACTCTATTGTACTTCATCTAAAATATCCTCATCAAAATATGAAAGACGCTCAGAAATCTGTACGATCTGTCTGATGAAACTCAAAGAAAACGTCAACAATTCATGGTATAAGTAGCCATGCATTTGACGTAGGACTACGTGTTTGTGGACTAAACACTGGGGTGCAAATAAAAAACAAGTGTGACGAAATAGTGTCAGGTTTTGAGCGCTTATAACATGGTCATTTATGAATAAAATTCAATTTTAACTACACCATTTTATCCAGCTTTAATGAAAGATTTGTTTGGTATTAATATGATAGTTGTTTGTCAATGGTTAATTATTGAAAATTGATCAAATTTTTTAGCCGTAAGCACCCAATCAATACTCAATGTAATTTTTATTTTATTTACTTTTTTCTTTTCACTGACCTACATCAGCAGAATACAGAAAAAGTTGTGCTTATCTAAATGCTTAAGTAAGGGAAACGTAGATAATAAGGCGGAACTCATCGTTTGACTGCCGAGTGCAATGAAGAAGTGTTCGTTGCGTTGTACACTGATCATTGATCATTCGCTGCAGTTCGGTTTTCGATCGCTCTCTCGCGATGTTCGCATAGTTCGTTGCAATAGTGTTCGCGCTTTTCTTTCGCATTGTTTAGTGAAGCATCTTTCGACCCTAGCATGGGGAAACCACCGCGTGGTGACGCGGCTGCCATTCCGACCGGAAAACGAACCCGATCATCGAAGAAGCTGCTGGCGAACAACCTCAGTGCCGTTCTGGAAAATGGCGATGAACTGCAGGTGGAAAATAAAGAGGAACTGCCGCCTTTCTTCGTGAAGGGATACCCGCCCGGATTGACGGAGAAAATAGACTATTACATTACCGCCTTTGCACTGAAGCCTTCAAGTTGATGGTTCCAGTGATGAAAACTACAAGGCGCGTTCTACACGCTGCTGGAGAAAGAAAACGTGGAGTACTTCTTCCACGATATTGAGGCGAGCAAGCCGTTCAAGGTGGCCCTTCATGGACATCCGGACATGACAACCGATTCACTTTCGAATGAATTGAAGGTGAACGAACTCAAGTCAGTCCATATTTTCAAATGAATCGCTATGACAACACTCGTAACATATATGGTCCACCTTGAGAAGGATTCAACGATCCTCAAGGATCTGCAGAAGATTCGAGCTCTGTTCCACATCGTGGAAAATTGGGATGGATCAGTACAAGCCCGTCCACCGTTACATCACCCAATGCTCCAACTGGCTCCTGTTCGGACATAGTATGAAAAATTCGACAGTTAGCATGCATAAGGGCGTAAACGCGATGATCGATTCTCTTCGTCGAAGAGAATCGATCATCGCGTTTACGCCCTTATGCATGCTCACTGTCCAATTGCCATATGGCCTACTGATGCAACGGTTGTGACAGCAGCACGTGTTCGATGCCTGCGATGACCCAACATGCGCCAATTGTGAGACTGCTCAAGCAAGTCATGCCCAAAACGTGCGCAGTTCACTGCAATCCACAAAAGGGCCTCCATGCAGGCCGCAAAATCATACCGGTGAACAATGGGCAGAACTTTCCTGCCATCTACCCATCAACAATCGCTACGCTGCTGCTGCATCAGTCTCATCAACTGTTGAGGTGCCCAACCCTCCGGTATACAGAAATCGTCAATCGTATGCGACAACCGTTGCATCCCGCAGTACCGAACACAACACTGATCCACGTATTCACGCAGCTTGCCACACGTTTGCACAGTTGCAAAATTCAATGCGACCAGATTTACACTCTGGGTGTGGAAGTGTTGAAGCTAACCAACTGGAACGCTTGCTCGCTCAAGAGCAAGGAATTCGAGTTCGTTGAGTTTCTCAATGTACAAAACATTGGCGTTGCCATCATAACTGAAACCCACCTTAAGCCCGAAATTAACGTCTATCTTCCCGATTTCCGGCTCGTGAGGCTTGATCGAAGCAACTCTAGAGGAGAAGGAGGAATGGCCATCACTCTAAAGAAGAACATCGACTGTCCGCTGATGCCGAGCTTCCAGCTGAAGATAATGGAAGCTTCTACTCCTGTCAACATCAGGGACGGGTCGGCAGCAGACCTGCGACGAGATAAACATTATCAGCTGATTACAATTCTTAGCCCTCCAATTGTTTTTGTACATCAACGAACTCTTATTTTCAAAAAAATCTTCAATTGGGCGACACTGACGCAAGTTTGTTGGATTGCGGTTTTTTTTTGGTACATACGGGATATTTTGATTTTCCAAGAAGGCTAGTGTTTTCTCAGCATAATGCGATGATGCTTTATCCGACCAAAACACGTAGTTTTCGTCTGCGTGATATTTTTGAAGAAATGGAATCAATATTTTCTTCAAACATTGATTTTGGTACACTTCTTCGTTGATAGCCTTGGCTTAGAAATGCCTCTGTTCAAACTTGTGTTTGAACTTGAATCTTACATTTGGAGATGTTGTACAACTATTATCTGAATAATATAGATCATTTCCAGGAATGTGAGATATTGGGAGAGGAGAGTAACTTTCATCGTCCCAAACGAGACATATGCCAGAGTAATTTCTTGTCATCCAACGGTATTGGGTTTTCACGTTCGAAATTTTTTGATCAGTGTATTCTGGAGTTCTTGCATTCGGCTATTCTATTCAACATTTTTGCACATAACAAATGGTCAAGAAGCAGTTAAAATGAACTCTCGGACGAAATTGCAAATTAGGTTATATGAAACTTATTGGACATTATATCGTTACTGCCCTGGTGGATGCAGTAGATCCAATCATCTAACTCCAACACAATTTGGAGACCCTAGAATATATTGTGGTCAAGAAAACTTGTGCTGAATTATGAATTCAAGCTGAATGAACATGCAAATCATAGGAGGTGGGCAGATATGACCCATCCGTCCTGAAAGGTTTAAGAAAACGATGATGAGAGTAGACAGAACGCGTGTATAAGAAACGAAAAAGCCAGGAAAAGAATAATAATATTTAATAAAATCAAACGTTACATAGTTTTCGGAGCTGGACCAATCAAGTTTATATCAAAACATGAATTCCGTCCCATGTAACATTAGTCTTCTATGTTGATAGCGTTAGATTGAACATGGAAAATTACCACCGCGTACATTCAGTGCTCAACAAGTTCACCCCCGAAATTCGGAAACAATTTAAACAATTTTCAAAAATGTCATTCAAATTGGCATCCAAAATTTCCGGCGTGCAACTACACACACACACACACCCATAGCAAGACGGATGCGCATTCGTGGATTTCAACTGGGAACAAAATCGATCGCCGTTGGCAGCGAGAACAATAAACTTTTCCCATAAATAGTAATAACAACGAGTAAACTTTTCGTTACTAATTAAGTGTCACCACAGTGACTGTCAACAGAGCTTGCTATGTTTTAATAATAAAATCCACGAACCAACTCTCGTCGTCGTAAAGCTCGTGTTCATACGGGGGCAAGGTAATATCAATTTCATATCAAAAAGGGTTCTAGCTTTCCACAATGGGAATGGACATGGCCGTATGAAATGGCAAAACTGAAACTGTGGAAACACTACGAATGCATGAATCAATAATGAATATGAATTGAAAATGCGTCGAACGAGAGCTGCGGAAAGACACACGAAAATACTGAGCGAACATGTTTGCGGTCGTTTCGAAAATCAACTGCTGGTAATGAATTTTACGAATAATGATGATGAACGGAGGGAAGCCAAAACCAAGATCGAATATGAATTTTTCAATCAAACAACAACAACAACAACAACAAAAGGTCGGCCGGGGTAGATACGGACAAAAAGCGACGTGACACGATTCACGAAATACTTCTGGATGTGAACTAAATTTAGCGGGTGATGATGAGCATTGTTTGTTCGATGATGGATGGATGGATGGCATGGAATGCGAATGAATTGATAAACCAGAGAGAAAGGGAAAAAAGAGTGAGAGCTCATGCAAAAATACGAAACAACGAAAACACGAATCGAAGATTATTTTTTTTTTTTTCGTTTAAATGCAGCAAAGACAAAGAACATGAGAACAGTAACGAGTTAAAACCGGAAGAAAGTAGGTCAGTGCAACCGTTTAATGGTTAATAGTGAACGTTTGTTTCAGAGATATGTTTCGACAGTCATCTTCCACCCTAAGCTGTAAAATCATAGAGAATATACGGAGTCTTGATCTTAGAAATAAAATCCTCAACCACTGAACCGTGGGGGGAGGGGGTCTAGTGTCTCGGGGGAAGCAATCGTGATTGAAATATCGCACGGCCAAGAAACCAAACCTTCCCCCCACCGAACTCAGTCCCTACACCTCTTAGACTAAGGAGTAAAATAAAGAAAAAAGCCATGCAAAACTGACTATCTTCGTCGTCGGTCGGGCCCAGATCAATGGACGTTCTTTTGGTCTCAGTGTAGAGATCATCATCTTCGTCATCTTCGCCACCGTCGAGCCCATGATCACCTGATCCACCGGCACCACCACCGGCGCCTCCTGCACCTCCGGCTGAGCTGCCGCTTTCGGAGATGCCTTTCGAACCGCCGCCGATGCCTACGTTCGTGACACTGGTGCGACTGGAGCCTCGCGAGGAAGAGTCCTCGTCATCGTCGCCGTAGCCGGAGCCGGAAGATTCGTCGTCTTCCTTCTCTAGATCGTCGCGAATCTGCATGGGAAGAAAGGAAGAAAATGGTAAACGTGATTAGTAAGCATGGCCACACTCACATATAGGGAAAACAACCCAATTGTTGCGGTACGTTAGCAGCGTTAGAAGCCTATTGTTGTGTATGGAGGTCTCCATAAACAACAATAGGCTTCTAACGCTGCTAACGTATCGCAACAATAGGGCTGTTTCCCCTAGCATGCATTATATGTACTATTAACGAGCATTTTTTGTGCTGCAGCTGATGCAAATTTGGGATCTTTAGCGGCTCCAGGGAGGGGGGGGGGACTATTGTCACTTCATCGATGTCAATCACCTTTTGTCTATCGGAACTATGCTGCAGTTTTTGAAAAAAAAATAAGTTTCACGACACTAGTTTAAAGCTTCGGAATTTTTTTTTTGAAGTGGAACTGCGCTGACATTTTTGGATGCTCCCTGATGCTCTTGAAACATTTCTGAAGTTCTCTCACTTCTCCTGTCCAGATATTAATGAAACTGAGCGGTTTCATTACAAATGACGACTTTTTTAACCAACCTTTACTGATTAAGTTGAAATTTTGCAAAGTTATTCATTATTGCCCAACATGCCACTTTACACATTTGGTTCCTTATGTCGTTTTCGTTTTTGCGATGTAGATACACCGAAAACCGAAAAATTTCAGGGTGTAGGTATCGGTTGCACGTTTGTTTAAAAACAAAAATGATGATGAGCTGTCAATGACCCGCGCTTATTGCTGCTTACACTACACCGGTGTAGTGTTGTAAAAACGAAAACGACATAAGTATTGTACGCAACTAAGATTTCAAAAGGGCTTATGCAAAAATGATATCCATTAATTCAAAAATACCTATCAAGAGAACGATTTGGGATATTATTTGTGAGCTCCTGCGCTTTGGTCAAATAGCATAAAGGACGTCGTTGTGCCAATTTGGTCAAGGCACATTTCGAGTATGAGAGAGTGATTGCAGTTTGCTCAAAAGTGCCTGAGTAAAATGCAAGTACTTTCGATGATTACCCGTAGTTGTTATGCCACACACATCCATGGTCACACTTACATAGTTTGTGTATAGTAGGGTTGGTAATACCGGCACATTTTTCCTAAAACTGGTTTTACGGTATTGAAAATTCTAACACCGGTAAAACCGGTATTTGGACGAAGTTCTAAAAGAAATAAAAAGCTGCATAATTTGTATAAAACGCGTTTATTGGTCAACGATTGAATAAAAAAATGCACTATTCAAAGCTTGGCCTGTTCGTTAAAATAACCTTTGAAAACGCAAAGAGTGTTTATCGTATTATCTCCCAAACGAGAACGGAGCTTACTGACAAAGTTTCCGGATGCCGAAAATGCTCGTTCAGACTCCACTGATGTAGGACGTACAGTGCAAAGGGCATCGTAAATGATCTTCATGTATTTGCCTTTCAAACTCTCTGCATCGTAGTAGGCAAACTCTTGTCGAACAACTTTTGTCAAACTGTTTGCTGACGTTGACGTTGAGCCAGAACTAGAACTGCAAATTTCGACTGCTGCAACCGTCTTTCAAATTTTTCCATCACGGTCAAACCATCGTTCTCTGCATCAGCTGCATCATCTAGTCGATTGAGTTCCTCTCTTCGCTCGATCTCTGCATTCATTCCGTTCCCTTCCAAATCAATCAAACGATGTAGTATTTCAATCGACTGCTTCAACATGCCTCAGAAAAATCCCACCGACCTCGGCTGGGATTGAACCCAGACCCATCGAGGTGTTAGAAAGTAGTCACGCTTACCACTACACCACCGGCGCCGGCTAATACGACATGTTGTTGTACGTTGGTTCAAAGAGTAAATGGTATTAACATTGAGCTGTCCATAGTTGGGCATTGTTGAACTTGTGGTACTTGCTCAACATTTCATGTGAGTACCAAAGTAACCATATAATCACATAATAACTTTTAATGTAGGTTCAGAGTGAGACAATGTCACTGAGATATGGTTAGTTGGGTAACTTTAAAAAACTAATCCTGGTTGTATCTCTTTTTCGTTTGCATGTAACACTGCTTGATATTACTAACCGCACCGAGCCTTCATTCCGGGTGGTGAGGGAACCTGAAGTAGAAGAAGATGACAATGAGGCCCTTCTCGGAACGAGTATATTGTTGGTGGACCTCGTCCACTATTCAAGGTTGGATTCTGTGATGATTAGTATCACAAAAAGGTAAAATATGTAGCACGATCTTCATCGAAATGTAAGTATTATTGACAATAATCACAACAATCAACTCGTATATACATTGAAATACATATATAAAAGGGAAGGGACGGTCCAACAGGGCACCCGATTCAAGCGATTTGGACGGGGAGAGTGGGAATGCCAACTCCCTGTTAATATCATTTCGTGGATAAAGGGCGGGCTCTTCTTCCCACTCATTACGATATCGTCCTGTTTGGGGGCTTGTCTTTTTGACCAATTTGAGCAACTTGATCAGCCAGTTGCTGGAAGGAGATTCTTTATTGTTCCGTAGATGCGTATAGGCGACTTTGCCTATCGATCTACCCAATCCGTTTTTGGCCCTTCCTACAGCGACATGTTGAGGACAATCATCTTGATCAAGACAAACAGAGAAGAGAGCCCACTGCTGTCGGACTTAGTTTCCGTGCTACAATGGGTGGTAAACCACTATCATAGGGTGGAGCGCTACTTCGTCGTAATCGCCCATTTCCGTTCTATCGATCAGAAAAGATCAATAATATCAATGATTTCACCGTGCACAAATCAATAAAAGGCTTGTTCCGATGCGTTAGTCCATTAGCTACAACATAAATCCTGTTAGAGCGCATTGTCTGAATATTTACGCTCATTGTTCTCAAAACAATGGAAGCGCTCCTAGCGAATCCCCTTTTCTCCGTTTATGCGTAGGACGACGAAAATCTAATGGCATATTAATGCGTTAGAACGGAATTGAAACTCGTAGAACGAATTTAGAATCCAGAAGCAGTATTATATTTTAAACAATATCTCAACAATTTGTGACTCTTTATCAAATCCAACGGTACGTATGGAAAGGTGAATAAATTTAGAAGGCATCTTCGACAGAAATATTCCATTTTTTGTTTAAACTTGTTCAGAAAAGAGAGGTAAAGTGCGGGTTATGCTAAGTAGTACGGAAAAGAGATCAAAAACCCTATCATATTTTGGAATAATATTTGTGAGTGTCCAATGTTGTGATTTTTTTTTTAACGAAAAGCGCAATTAATTTCCTTGAACCTTGCAGCGGAACGAAAACATATTCATTGTGGCTGTGCTAGTAAACATCCAAATCGCTCTATGAATCAAAATTTAGCAGTCTTACATATTTGTACGCGAAAAAGTTTAAACAACATTAGAAGGACGCATCTTTACGAACTGGTGTGATCGGATAATGGCGATGACATGGTAACGCGTTTAGCGAAGCGTGAGCGTGTGCGTCTGTGCTGCTTTGATGAGCGTCCATGCAAAATGCTTGATGCAACGCTTGATGCACCTGTCATAGTAAACGCATTGCAATGCGCCAGCAATAGCGTCAAAGCACTCCTTGAAGTGTTTTCACGAGCGTGCACGCAAAAGACTGTTTTAGTGTCATTGAAATTATTACTGGATCTCAGTGAAAAACTTGCTGAGATTCAGTTAAATTTATGTTTGTTAGCTGAAATCTCGGCAATATTCCCGTTTGTTAGCTGAATCTTGGCAAGTTTTTCACTGAGATCCAGTAAAATAAAATACCGAGCTGCTCGGTGGTGCCCATCTCGGCAAAAAAATCAAGTATGTAGTTTCGACGGAATTTGAGTAGATCCTACTGAAAATTGGGTAGTTTATAATTAGCGTGAAGACCAGTGATTTTGACTGAGAACAAAACGTTGCGCTTTCAAAAACTCGTTGAGTATGTCATAGCACGCTTCATCATTTATTGAAATTAAACAAACGCGAACAACACGCGTTTCCGGAGTGATTTGAGATTTGGGCGTAATTGCATTTGTAAACAAACACGTCAATCGCCGATTTCTCGCGGATGAAAGCTCAATTTCGAAAACTAATAACACTACGAGGTAAAAGAATGATTCTTCTTTCATTTGGCATAGCTTGTTTATGAGATTGAGGTTTTATTCACGAGAAAACGGCGATTGACGTGTTTGTTTACAGAAGCAATTACGCCCATATCTCGAATCACTCCGGGTTTCTCGACGCTCCGCACGCTATTTTGAGGCAACTCAGTGACTGGGTGGATCGCACTCATTTTTGCATGCTGTATGGAGTTGTCAAAAACTGAGTAAACTGGTTTTGCTCCGATGAGTGGGATCTACCCATATTCTGGGTAAATGGTTCTGATATGATTTTTTCCTAAGTTCAATATGGCACACTTTGAAGTTGTGAACAGGCGATTTTTGCGCAGTGAGTTTGAATAAGATTTTAGAAGTGAAGCAGTTACGTAATGACCTGGATGGCGAAAACTATCAGCTGCTAGATGCAACTCTAACAAAAAAGTTCGTTGGTATCAATAAATACATAATTATCATTTTCATAATTCATATTCATTCATTTAATATTCTTCCTGGACGAAACAATTTATAGGGTTACGGTATGTAATGTGGGTCTAGTCCTTTCATTCGGCCTATCACGCAAATAAATAATTAATTAAGGAATATTACACAAAAAATAAGGAAAATATTGATCACTGATGATTGATAAATGTGTACCACACACAAATCAATTTATATCACAACATTTCAATACATTTTCAGCTCTCGTAAGTAATAAAACTGGTTGAGAATATCACTCTGTTCGGAGTTTTTAGCCGCCATGACTTCTAAGGTTAAGATGGGAAGGTTGCACTGACGATCATCAAATGGCCTGATTATGGCATTTATTGAATGGAATTACCTGATAATACACACTAGACGTAAAACTCACAGTTACTGTTTGAATATTTTATGTTTATTTTAATTGTTTAACAACGTTTTCACAAGTAAATCATGGACCCAACTT